AGCAACATGGTGTTGCTCTGGGATTCATAATGAGAGAGCAACGCGAGGTTGCATCCGCAAAGTCAGTGGCTCCGGCGGAGACACCGCGGAAAGAACACCTGAAGTTACGTGTCGGTAACTACATGGGACGAGAAGGTGAGACCCTTCTCCGCTGGCTGGCTGGCAGAGCTCGACACTGCCGTGATGGCTCGACGGCTCGTCGACCCACTGGCGAAAGTCGCCTTCACCATGTCTTGTCTTGGCGGACGGTCAAGGAGTTGGGCCTACGGGCGCGGACTCACTGATCCTACGTGCTTCAGCACGTACGAGTCCTTCAAAGAGGAGCTCAAACCGATGGACGAGGCGACCAAGGTCGTCACGTTCATGAAGGGGTTGAGATATGGGCCTGTGAAGACCTATCTCTTCCGAGAGTACCCGAGCACTCTCGCAATGCAAGTGGAGTTTAGCCTGAAGCAGGCTTAACTGCACACGAACGTGCCACGCCCGCCTCGGCCGGTTCCTAAAACGGAAGGTCCTGAACCAATGGATCTTTCGTATGCATCTGCTGGCGGACAGCAGAAGAAGAAGGGAAGCAACGTGGCCTGAAGCAGGCTTAACTGCACACGAACGTGCCACGCCCGCCTCGGCCGGTTCCTAAAACGGAAGGTCCTGAACCAATGGATCTTTTGTATGCATCGGCTGGCGGACAACAGAAAAGGAAGGGAAGCAACGTACGATGCTTCCGGTGCGGAAACATGGGTCACTACGCACGAGAGTGTACGGCACTAGTGCACTCGGGCCAAGGTCAACGTGGCGATAGCGGGTATCGTCACGGCAAAAATAAAACGCTTTGGACGCCGCGGCGCAACAGAGAGCGATGGCCCTGTTAATGCACCGGATACACCTAACGGTGCATCCGAAACTCCTTCAGAGGCAGTGGCTCGCGCCGCTGTCTCCGGCCGTAGCGCGAGGAGCGCGCGAGCTGTAACGACTCCAGGAGTCGTTGACAGTAAAAGAGTGTCTGATCAGGGACCGGACACTTCTAGAATGTTCTCCGCCATAAGGCGTCGAGATGACAATAGCGTGTCGACTCTGGGAGTTGACACGCGCTCGATATCAAAATCGAGAAAGTTCTCCGCCGTGGGGCGTCAAAGTGACAACAGTGTGTCGGCTCTGGGAGTTGCAACACACTGCTCCGCCGAAAGGCGTAGAGGTGACGACAAAGCATCGACTCCCGGAGTCGATTCGACAAGTTGGGCGGACGGTTGCAAACGTCCAGCACTGAAACTTGCGTGCTGTCGTGCAGCCGGGCTGCACGAAGCAGGGCGCGATCAAGCCGGGCTTGATGACGCG